AAAAAAAAAAGAGGCATTGTAAAATTCCAAAATGTATATTTTTTCTTATTAAGCCCCCCCTTGAAATCACAATTTCCCCCGGTACCGTCTCTCGCCCTTGTTATTGGGAACTCGAAGCCATGGCGTGACCCTCCGTTCGTGCTTGCTCGTGGGTGTCTCTCCTGTCCCCCCCTTTGGAGCAGTAGCCCCTGTCCCCTCCCAGAGCCCTCCCCTCCTCCCCCAGTTCTGTTTTATTCCCCCTTTTCCCCCTTCCCACCCCCCCAGCGTGAGCAGGAGCTCAGGGCAGCACAGGGAGGCTTCTTAATAACAAGGTTTTGCCCAGCATGAAGTGTTGAACACCCCTGGGGGACGAGCCCAGTTCTTCTCCGAGTCACCACCATAAATGTTTGGGATATAAATCGATAGAAAAATTGACTTAACAGAGGAAAGCTGATGGGGGAGGGAACCTGTTTGCCTTGTATTTTCCCACTATTGTTGCTGCTAGTCGTGTGCATCCTCTTGCTCAGCTCTACCCACAGACACTCGGTCCTTAGGGCTTCAGTTTTATTTCCCAGACACCACCTACTCTTTAATTTTATTTTCCTTCTTCTCCCCCTTCTTTTTTTTTTTTGTTTGTTTTTTGTTTGTTTGGGTTTTTTTGTTGATTTTTTTTTTGTTGATTTTTTTTTGTTTTGTTTTGTTTTTTTAAGATTTTGTTTGTTTTCTTTCCTCTGGCGATTGTGTGTTGGGTCCCTTTTTCGCGTGAGCAGATGCTGGTTGACTTGTCAGGGTGTTTGCTGCAAACAGTGTAAGCATTGTGACTGCAAATAAAACTTCAATGGTTTCTACTGACCACGTGTCTGGCACCCTCAGTTCCCCCCCCATGCCCCTGCACCCCAAAAACCTCCCCTGCAACCCCAAGATCTCTCCCTGCACCTTGGTTTTACCCAAAATCTCCCCTGGAGCCCCAAGAGCTCTCCTTGCACCCTGTTTTCACACAAAACCCCAAAATGTCCAAAAGAGCCCCAAGATCTTCCCCAGAACCTCAAGATCTCCCCCTGCACCACAAGTTTCCCCCTTGCACCCCAAAATCTCCCCTGCAGCCCCAAGATCTTCCCCTGCACCCTGGTTTTACCCCAAACCCCCAAATCTCCCCTGCAGCCCCAAGAGCTCTCCTTGTACCCTGATTTTACCCAAAATCTCCCCTAGAGCCCCAAGATCTTCCCCTGCACCCTGAAATCTTCCCCTTGCACCCTGATTTTCCCCCCCCTGCACCCCAAAATCTCCCCTGGAGCCCTGACATCTCCCCCTGCCCCCTGAGATCTTCACCTGCATTCTGAGTTCCACCTCAAAACCCCAAGATCTCCCCCAGCAACCTTGAGTTTTCCCCCAAAATCTCCCTCTGCCCCCCAAAATGTCTCACTGTACCCTCAGCTCTCCCCTAGAACCTCAAGAGTTCTCCCTTTGCACCCCAAGGTCTTCCTCTGCACCCCAAAATCTCTCCTTGCACCCCAAGCTCTCAGAACCCCCCAAATCTCCCGCTGCACCTTCAGCTCTACCCCAAAACCCCAAGATCTCTCCCCGCACCCCAAGACCTTCCCAGAACCCCAAAATCTCCCCTTGCCCCCTCAAAGTCTTTCCCCCAGAACCCCAAGATCCCCCCCCAGCACCCCCAGCCCTCCCCTGCCTGCTGCAGGGTGACTCTTCCCACCGAAAGATGTCCCAAAATCCCCCAAATCAGATGGAATTCGGGGGGGGGGGGTGGGCGTGGATGGTACTTTGCCCTCCAGCCAAAACCCACCTGGATTTGGCCACAATTCCTCACGTTTTAGCCCATTTTGGGCAACAAGCTGTGCCCAGGTGGGGGTGCAGGGGAAGGGGGGCACCCCCAGCCCCACTGTGGGGGGGTCCTGGCACTGACACCAGCACAGGGATGAGTTTTTAAAAACATTTATTTACAGCCCGGGCGGGAGGAGCGGCCGAGGCAGGTCCAGCCCTGCTGCCCCCCCTGACCCAGAGCGGGGCTGGGGGGGCTCCTGCGCCCCTCACCCGGGGACAGGGGGCTTCCTGCCCCCCTCACCTTGGCACTGGGTGAGTTTGCCCCTGCCCTCACCCCGATTTTGGCTCCTCAGCCTTCCCCCTGTAAACGGCGTCGTTCCAGCCTTCCCTGTTCCGGGCGATCTCGATGGCGAAAAACTGGATTCTGGTGGCTGGAAAACAGGAGAGGGAGAAACCCTCCAGCACAGCTCAGCTTTCCCACAGCCCCCCCTACCCCCCTGCCCCGTTTCCTGGGGGTCCCCATCCCGTTTCCCACCGAAGATGGTGTTTTCCTCGGTGTATTCCCGGCGGGAATCCAGGCGGAGCAGAGTCCCGTAGTTGAAATCCTCCACCACCCCCTCAAACCTCAGGCAGAACGGGCGCCACTTCTGGGGGGGGGAAAGGGGGTTGGAAAAACACCCTCAGCACCCCTGGGAAAGGGGGGGATCCATGAAGGAGGGGGGATCAGCTCCCACCCACCGCCTTGGCCGGCTCCGATTTCAGCTCCTCGGGGTCCAACACGTCGATTTTGAGGTCCCGGAAGGTTTTCCTGAACTCCTCGTAGATCTGGTCGTCCACCTTGGTGAGGTTCAGGAATTTGGGGTCCACGGAGGAGATGAGCTGTGCAGGGGGGGGTTGGTGGTGAAGGGATTTGAGCCACGAGCCCTCCCGGGAGCCCCCCCAGCCCTGCGTGAGCCCCCCCAGACTCACGTTGAAGTAGACCTGGGCGTGCTGGTGGGCCTTCATGGCCCAGGCCAGCTCCACGCGGGGCTGCCGAGGGAAAAGAGGGCTCAGGAAGGGCTGTGCCCCCCCGGGGGGGCCAAACCTCCCCTTGGGGGGGTCCCTCCTCCACTCTGGGGGACCCTCTCCCCGTGCTGGGGGTTGCTCTCCTCCCACTCAGGGGGCTTTTGCTCCTCTTGGAGAGCCTCTCTGCTCCCCTTGGGGAAGTGTGGAGGAGAAGTTGGGACCTCCCCTCCCTTCCCAGGGCTGGGACCCTCCTGGAATGGGATCCCCCAGGACTGGGACACCCCAAGGCTTGTACCCTCCATGGGGTGGGATCCCCCCTCCCAAGACTGGGATATCCCCCACCCCAGTGATGGGACCACCCCCAAGGCTGGGACCCCCCTCCAGCCCCAGGACAGGGATTTCCAAAGCTGGGACCCCCCCACCCCCAGCACTAGGACCCTCCTGGACTGGGAACCCCTCAGCACTGAGGCCCCCCAGTGCTGTAACCCCAAAGTTGTGACTCCCCCCCTCCACCCCCAAGACTGTGACACCTCCTTCCCCCCACCTCGCACAGGGACCCCCAAAGTTGGAACCCCCCAATGCTGGGACCCCCCTCCCAGTGCTGGAACCCTCCCAGGACAGGGACC